CAAAATACAAAACAAACAGCTAGTGATCAGGTTAACCTGATCATGGTTTCCGTAAACGGCTAGCAATATGCGAAGTGACACTTTTTCGAAATACATAGGGGATGTTTGTGTTTTGACCTTTCTGTTAGGTACAGTTGTATTCATAAAAAAAACGTACAAGGATTAGAATGAGAGGTGAGTTTTGCAATATGATTAACATGGTACAGGTATACTCTCACTCTAATTCGTGCACGGTTTTTTTATGAATACAACTGTACCTAGTGAACGAAGAAAAATCGAAAAAACCAGTTATTTTCAAATTTTAGGCAGTTAGGTATCTAATAACGCGAAAATCTCTCGGGACCATCCTCTGTGCTATTCGCGAATCGATCTAAAAGAGTCTACAAATTGAGAAGTTACTCTAATTGTAGACCAATATCAAGTGAAATCGATCGGAAAAACTCGAGGAAAAACGTTTCGAAATTTTCATTTTTTCTGCTGAGTCTTCCTTTATACCGATATAACCGAAGAAATATAATTTTTTTCGTAATTTATATTGAAAAATCATTGATTAGCGATATCTCTAAAATTGTTGAATTTAATTATAGGACATGTAACACATCAGGTCTAAAATTTAATGTAGAATCCAAAAATATATTCAAAAATGGGTTATTCCATTTAAATTAAGCAGGAAATACTAAATTTTTTGCTCTATTTTCTAAACCCGCCTTTACATTTGTACCTCTTCAATTAACAAGTATATAAGGTAAAAAGCACTTTCGTTGGATAACCCCGGGATAACCCTGTACAACTGGGCCTAAGAAGGGTGTACCTATTTTGCTGATCAGCAAATTGCTGATAATGCAGTTTTTGGCTGGATAAGCAATTTAATCGAATGCGATCAGTTTGTAAAGTTGCGGTCAGTTAGTAGAAGTGATGTGAGCCATGCAAACAATTGCCGCCTCCGTCCGCATTCATTGCCGCCCCCAGAATAAAAAATACGCCTGATGTATTGAACTTTCAAGCCGATTTGATGCGGTCACTTAGGATGGGTGCTGTCAACATCGAAAATCATATGTAGAAAATGGCCGCCGCCGACCGCAGCTGTTGCCGCCCCTCAGAATCAACGTCTGAAGTATTGAATTTTTAATCTGATTTGATGCGGTCAATTAGGATGGGTGCTGTCAACATCAAAAATGATATGTAGAAAATGACCGCCGCCGACCGCAGCCGTTGCCGCCCCCCAGGTTCAAAAAAACGCCTGATGTATTGAATTTTTAATCCGATTTGATGCGGTCACTCAGAAAGGGTGCTGTCAACATCAAAAATGATATTTAGAAGATAACCGCCCCCGACCGACGCCGTTGCCGCCCCCCAGAATTAAAAATACGCCTGATGTATTGAATTTTCAATCCGATTTGATGCGGTCACTTAGGATGGGTGCTGTCAACATCGAAAATCATATGTAGAAAATGACCGCCGCCGACCGCAGCCGTTGCCGCCCCCCAGAATCAAAAAAACGCCTGATGTATTGAATTTTGAATCCGATTTGATGCGATCACTCAGGTAGGGTACTGTCAACATCAAAAATGATATTTAGAAGATGACCGCCACCGACCGCCGCCGTTGCCGCCCTCCAGAATTAAAAATACGCCTGATGTATTGAACTTTCAAGCCGATTTGATGCGGTCACTTAGGATGGGTGTTGTCAACAAGCCAAGCAAGCCGCTGCGGAGTGCAAAGGTTCTTGGCTACCTCCTAGTTTTCTTGCCTGGTTTTTCTGGGCCGTTCTTTGTTTTTTTCAGTTCCATTGAGTATACTTCCTGGAAAATGGGTTTCCAGTAGTAGAGCAGCTCGTTGCTCATCATTTTCTGTATAACTGCCGTCTGGTTTCTTAAGTGTCAATGGTCTTTGCGCCCTGCCTGTTGCCAGGGTTTTGTATAGTCTGGCTGCTGATGGTGTTTCTGTGATAGATTCACAGAAGTTCTGGAAGTTTTTCCGTTTGGCCTTCTATAATTCTCTGTGGTACTCAGTCAGCCTTTCGGTGTACCCCTGCCATTCTCCGTCCTGTTTGGTTCTGTTAAAGAGACAGCGAACCTCAAAAATGATATTTAGAAGATGACCGCCCCCGACCGCCGCCGTTGCCGCCCCCCAAAATTAAAAATACGCCTGATGTATTGAACTTTCAAGCCGATTTTGTGCGGTCACTTAGGATGGGTGCTGTCAACATCGAAAATCATATCTAGAAGTTGAACGCCCCCGATGCCGCCCCCAGAATCAAAATTACGCCTGAAGTATATCAAGCATATTTTTGATTCTGGGGGGGGGGGGGGCGCAATGGATGTGGTCGGGGGCGATCAATTCCCACATAAAATTTTTCATGTTCACAGTGTTATGTATGTTGTTTAGGAAGTATGAGGCATCAAACAAACATAGAAGGAAGACCCAACTGACACCACAAGTACTACTTGTCAGTTGACAAAGCTGTGCATAGAGGTTGGTTGCCACCTACAATAATTACAAAACTCACACGTATATCACACACAGCGCCCTTACTAAGAACCCGCATCAGATCGGATTGAAAATTCAATACATCAGGCGTTTTTTTGATTCTGGGGGGCGGCAACGGTTGCGGTCGGCGGCGGTCATTTTCTACATATGATTTTCGATGTTGACAGCACCCATGCTAAGTGACCGCATCAAATCGAATTGAAAGTTCGATACATCAAGCGTATTTTTAGTTCTGGGGGGCGGCAACGGCGGCGGTCGGGGGCGGTCATCTTCTAAATATCATTTTTGATGTTGACAGCACCCTTTCTTAGCGACCGCATGAAATCGGATTAAAAATTCAATACATCAGCCGTTTTTTTAATTCTGGGGGGCGGCAACGGCTGCGGTCGGCGGCGGCTTTTTTTTACATATGATTTTCGATGTTGACAGCACCCATCCTAAGTGACCGCATCAAATCGGATTGAAAGTTCGATACATCAAGCGTATTTTTAATTCTGGAGAGCGGCAACGGCGGCGGTCGGCGGCGGTTATCTTCTACGTATCATTTTTGATGTTGACAGCATCCATCCTAAGTGACCGCATCAAATCGGCTTGAAAGTTCAATACAGAAGGCGTATTTTTAATTCTGGGGGGCGGCAACGTCGGGGGCGGTCATCTTCTAAATATAATTTTTGATGTTGACAGCACCCTTTCTGAGTGACCGCATCAAATCGAATTAAAAATTCAATACATCAGGCGTTTTTTTTGATTCTAGGGGGCGGCAACGGCTGCGGTCATTTTCTACAAATGATTTTCGATGTTGACAGCACCTATCCTAAGTGACCGCATCAAATCGGATTGAAAGTTCAATACATCAGGCGTATTTTTAATTCTGGGGGGCGGCAACGGCGGCGGTCATCTTCTAAATATCATTTTTGATGTTGACAGCACCCTTCCAGAGTGATCGCATCAAATCGGATTCAAAATGTATTTTTTATACTGGGGGCGGCAATGGATGCGGACGGAGGCGGCAATTGTTTGCATGGCTCACATCACTTCTACTAACTGACCGCAACTTTACAACCTGATCGCAGTCGATTAAATTGCTTATCCAGCCAAAAACTGCATTATCAGCAATTTGCTGATCAGCAAAATAGATTTTCCCCTAAGAATTCACTGACGCTCAACAATAATTATTGTGAAAATTTGGCTGTTGCTCATTAAAATTATAGGGCAATCGAACAACTTGTCAAAATGGAATTCAAAATGGAGGACAATGCCTTTTTTCTACTAATAATTTCTTAAACTAAAAACTTTCCATCTTAGAATACGAAAATTATCCTCTCAAACACTAGAAAATCATCTAAAAGCACCACAAAATACACAAAAAACAGTTTTTTGATGAAAAATGTCACGATGGCTTGAATTAAATTTATAGCGCCAATTTTTTGGCATTGGCCATGCATTGACCACCATTTTGTTTGGATTGCCCTATTAAATAAATAAATAAATAAATAAATAAATAAATAAATAAATAAATAAATAAATAAATAAATAAATAAATAAATAAATAAATAAATAAATAAATAAATAAATAAATAAATACTTCAACCTACAATTTTAAATTGTCACTGTCTATTTAAAAAAAAAATTGATATTTTTTTAAGAGGGGCGTTTAAATAAAATGTCATTTACAGACCTTCACTAATTCCTGTTCAATTCCAAATTTAGACCACTTTTCAGTGGAATGAAGTTATGTTCATAACAATAATAGATTGGAGTAGAAGTTCAAGCATTTTTGGTTGCAAAATACGCATTCTAAATAGTAAAATTATTACCATTTTGTTGACAACAATATGCAAATTTTGGTCACGGATTTAAATGAAAAAGGGATAAACATATAGAGTAGCACACCAACAATAAATGTTACTTAATGTTAAAACTTACAGAGAATTTGAACACCTGTGATTAAAAAGTATTTAATGTATGTCATAAAGCCCAAAAGATGGCGTGCTGGCTCTTATCCAGTGGCGGATTTAGAGGGGGGGCGAGCGCCCCCTCCTATTGAGCGACGCAACAACAGAACCTTTAACGAAAATACAAACATATTCATCAAGCATTATTCAACATGAAATTCCATATGGTTTTTGCTATTTTTCCAAATTTTTAATACTTTTAAATACGTTTGGCAGCAGCGAGCTGGGAGCGAATCGACTGCGGATGACGTAAATCCGGAAATACGCCGAAATGGGCGTGTGACTCTGCGAGCGTTATCGTTTGACGTTTGCGATGCCCGCTCGACAAGGTCGTTGCAGTCGTTGCACGTTGCACAATTCTGGAATAAAAATCGTTCGTCCTATAGTAAATCCATATTAGTGAAGTGTTGTTAGTTTGGTTAAAACTGTCTTGTGTTTGTAGGTTGGAAAATTTGAATATTTGTGTTTCAGAATAATCAATTTTACCAAGAGTAAGTCTATCATTTTACATGTAGGTATTTTAGTATTTTTTCCATTCCAGTTTTTAGATAGATAATGTCGGGTAAGGGTAAATCGAACAAGAGACCGTCAAATAGTGTCCTTAATTATTTCAAAAGAATAAGAAGTGTTCAGAGTGGTGAGGATGAGGCGGAGATTTCTAATACCACCACCACACAATCACAAAATTCCATTGAAATAAGTTCTTGTTCTAAGGCTAGCACTGATAGTATCAGCATTAGCCAAACAATCGCCATCGCTTCTGGACCAGGACCATCAAGGGATCTTGGCAATAATAAGACAACTGAAACTGAGATTGAAGGAGATAGCGGATGTATCGGAAGCATTAGCAATAATGATATTGGTTTACATCTAGCGAATATTGGCGGTATTGATGATGCCACTCGCTACAAATTATTGAAAAATCATTGGATGCCCGATGCAAATTTCAATTTTCCTTTTTCATTTCATAACAAGAGAGGCCGTGAAGAAAGACGCAGGGCCAATCACAGCCATTTCGAAAAACACAATTGGTTGGTTTTATCCAGAGAAAAACAAGGCTTATTATGCAAGTATTGTGCCCTGTTCTCGGAAGAATTAGTCGGTGGTCGTAGTCGTTACACGCATAATGTTATGCCACGAAAGCTGGTCAAGGTTCCTTTATTCAACTTTTCCAAGCTCACTGGTAAAGACGGTGATTTATTATTGCACGAAGCAACAAATTATCACTTGGAATGTGTTACTAAAGGTAAGTACGTAGTACGTACCTAGGTACGTAACGGTACGGTACGGTATATTACTTTTTCTACTGACGTTTCATAATAGCAACTTTTCGATTGTCATTTTAGTTTCGAAACGACATTCTTTTAAGCACTGAGTGCGTGAAAGTTACTTTTAAGCACTCAGTGCGTAAAAGTGACTTTTGAATGCGTAAAAGTGACTTTTGAGTGCGTAAAAGTAATTTTTAAGCACTACACCATTTCAACCTCAATTTCGGAAAAAGTAACTTTTATTTAGGAAAATGTAATGTCATTTTCGGAAAAAGTCAAATCAATTTCAGAAAAAGTAAAGTTAATTAAGGTTTAAAGTCAAATTTTAATAATTTATTGGTATTTCTAGAAACGTATAAGATTACTGCTTACTGTGATATCATAATTCTAACTGAATGTCATAAATTAGAAACTATACTACATTTTAACATTCCAGCAAAAACATAACAAGGATCACATTATCTAAAGAGAATATTAATTTTAGTATATTTGCATCATATAGGTCACCGTCATCGAATTTGAATAATTTTATTAATGATTTAAATGTTTTTTTCGAGACAAATTCAAACCCTTATAGTAATATTGACATTTTCTTGGGTGATATCAACATCAATCTTCTTGATGGGGACAGTGCTGATGTAAATAGATATCTTTCCACAATGTTTTCGTATGGATATGCCCCACTGTGTCAGGAAGTTACGCGGGAAAAGAGCGGAACTTGTTTGGATCATATGTTCTTACGAGACAAGAATAAGGTAACTTCAAAGAAAGTAGATACCTATATTATAGAACATGATATAACTGATCATTTGCCTCTTATGCTTAATATCTCAAATAATTCAATTTTAAATAATTCTACAAAAACTAATTTTGAAAAAAAGATTAAATCCATTGACATGAATAAATTAAATCGATTTGCATCCGAGGTAAACTGGGCAAACACCTTAAGTTTTAATCAACCAGAACAAGCCACAAATTATTTATCAAATGAGTTAACTACAATAATAGAAAATTCTGAATATATAAAACATACTGCAAAAACTTATAACAAGCTTAAACCTTGGATTACAGGTGGGATAATAAGGTCTATAAAAAATCGAGATAAGCTGAAAAAAGCCCTCAAAGTAAATTCGTCTTACACTAAAATATTGCAATATAAGGAATACAGAAATCGCCTAAATAAAATCATTAAATGTACAAAGAATGACTATTTCAAGGATAAATTTAATCATAACTCACATGACATTAAAAAAGTTTATAATCTAGTTAGAGAGGCAACAAATGAACAGCAAACAAGGGAAATTATAACTTGCATAAGGGATGGAAATCATGATAAAATTACTGACAGGAAAATGATTGCGGACTTTGCAAATAATTTTTTTTCAAATATAGGCAAACAAATTGAAGACCCAACAAGTCCATTTCGTTTCACTGACAGTCCTTCCTTCTCAATGTTCTTGAAGCCAACAGACAGAAATGAAATCATAGAACACATAAATAGTTTAAAAAATGGTTGTTCTCCAGGATTAGACAAAATTACCAACAAAATAATTAAACAACTGCATGTTTATCTCTTAGATCCCATGGTTTATATTATTAATTTAATTTTTAAAACAGGAAAAGTCCCTCCACAATTCAAAACGTCCGTTGTAACACCAATACATAAGTCTGGAGACAAAGAAGATATAAACAACTATAGACCAATAAGTGTCATCTCAAATCTGGCAAAAAATTTTGAAAAATGTCTTAAATCTAGATTGGTTGAGTTTTTGAACTCCAATAATTTACTATCTAAAAATCAATTTGGTTTCTTGCCTGGTTTGAGTACGTCACATGCAATGTATGAACTAGTGTCAAAAATAATGTCTCACTTGAACAATGGTGATAAATGCATTGCTTTGTTTCTGGACTTAGCGAAGGCATTTGACACGGTATCGCATCCCTTGCTTCTTCAAGTCTTGGAGATGCATGGGATTAGGGGTACCGTGTTGGATGTCTTTGCTGATTACCTGGCTCATAGGACTCAATTTGTTAAGGTTGCAGAGACCCTAAGTGAACCAAAAACAGTTCAACATGGTGTTCCACAAAGTACGGTACTTGGGCCCATACTTTTTAATGTTTATGTAAATTTTCTCTGTAAACTTGAAGTTGATGGAAAGCTGATAGCATATGCTGATGATACAGTGGTGGTGTTTCATGCAAGGACATGGGAGTTGGCACGCTCAAAACTAAAATGTGGCTTCGATAAAATCAAAACCTTTTTAGACACTTTCAAATTAACCTTAAATATAAAAAAATCTCATTATATTGCTTTCTCCATAACCATGGCAAATAGACCAAGATTTGATCATATTGTACTTGACAATATAGATGAACCATTGAAAGAGGTAACTCATATCAAGTATTTGGGGATTGTTGTTGATAAACACTTGAAGTGGGAACAACATGTGCTTTACTTGAATAAAAGAATTAGATTTTTCATTCATTAGTTGAAGGTAATCCAGAACTACATTGTTAAAATAATTCTGGATAGGCCTAGATTGTACCCTACAAAGCAACTTTATTCCGTTGAAATAAGTAATATCAAAATCTTGTATATTCTTGCAGTATGCAGTTTTGTACATGGAAATGAACAATTAAAGTCAAATGTATCACATTCTCATATAACTCGAGCGAACACTGCCCAAAATCTAAACATTCCTCAATCTAAATGTGACTTAAATCTGCATTTTTTGACATACCTAGCACCTAAGTTCTATAACTTAATTCCTGGTAGCATAAAGGGGGCTGAAAGAAATAAAAAGTTTAATGTTTTGTTTAAAGGGTATTGCTGGGAAAATCGGGAAAAATTTACATGTCTTTTTTGAATTTTTGTTTTTGTTTGTTATCTTTGTTGTTTGAATTTGTTAATCTAGCTGCGTTAAACATATTCAAACACTTTAATTGTAAAATTCATGAATATTTAATTTTTTTTATAAGAATTAGTAAGCGCATACAGGTTTCTTTTAAACTTAGGCGCTAAATATAGAATAATTTTATTTTTCGTTTTTTGGATAATTCATATACCTACATAAATTATATTTATTTTGTTAAATAAAAGTGGTAGGGATCAGGGATACTGTTCTCTCCAAACTTGAAAAAAACTTGAATTTCGGAAAAAGTAAATTCAAATTCGGAAAATGTAAATTCAAATTCGGAAAAAGTGAATTCAAATTCGGAAAAAATACTTTCAATTACGGAGAAAGTAATGTAATTTTTTATAGAATAATTTGAATTGATTGAGTCATTTATCTATTTAGAAAATCATTTTTTTTTTCTATATTTCTCAAAGAGAACCGATTTTTAAACAATAAAAGAAAGAGAAAAATTACCAAGTCTACAAATTGTTTATTATTTTATTCACTTAATAGTGACATGTGTTTTGCTCATATGAGCATCAGCAGACTTACAAAATAATATATACACCATTTCAAGCTCAATTTCGGAAAAAGTAACTTTTATTTAGGAAAATGTAAAGTCATTTTCGGAAAAAGTCAAATCAATTTCAGAAAAAGTAAAGTTAATTTCGGAAAAAGTAAATTCAAATTCGGAAAAAGTAAATTCAAATTCGGAAAAAGTAAATTCAAATTCGGAAAAAGTAAATTCAAATTCGGAAAAACTACATACAATTACAGAGAAAGTAACGTTATTTTTTAGAATAATTCGAATTGATAAAAAGTAAATTTAGCAGTGTTTATAAACCTCCAGTCGACCCCTTACCCAGACGGGCTCGATTCCAATCGGTGTACTTTAATTAGGTTCAACATATATTGGTTCTGTATTATTTTGTAGGTCTGATGATGCTCATATGAGCGAAACACATGTCACTATTAAGAGAATAAAATAATAAACAATCTGTACATACTTAGAAAATCTAGCCGACATCACTATTGGACGAATTAACGTTGGAATTTGTGTCCAATCATATAAACATGTCCAGAGGCATTATCCTGCACTTATGAGATTGGATAATTTCAATCCGGGAACATAACATTTAATTTTTTCATGTCTATCAACTTAGCGAGACAACTTCGAAAAATCGATTTTCCATTATGCCAAGAATTTGCCGCTTTTTTGCCGCTAATTAAATGTGGAATTAAAAAATTTGCCGCACTTTTGGTTTTTTCTTAATTACGTGTTTTGCTAACTTGACGTCAAGATAGCGAGACAACATCACTAAATATGTCAGCACTAAAAAACTAGGTACGTGAAAATTTGCCGTTTTTTTGCCGCTAATTAGTTGTGAAAATCAAAAATTTGCCGTTTTTTTTTTTTTCATCAAAAATCAAGTTTGAAAAAAAAAATCATTTGTTTCGCTAACTTGACGTCAAGTTAGCGAGACATTATCACTTAAAATGTCGGTAGTGAAAAATTGAATGAATAGAAATTTGCCGTTTTTTTGCCGCTAATTTGCTGTGAAAACCAAAAATTTGCCGCTTTTTTTTAACAAAAAATCAAGTTTGAAAAAAAAATCATTTGTTTCGCTAACTTGACGTCAAGTTAGCGAGACATTATCACCAAAAATGTCGGTAGTGAAAAATTGAATGAATAGAAATTTGCCGTTTTTTTGCCGCTAATTTGCTGTGAAAACCAAAAATTTGCCGCTTTTTTTAACAAAAAATCAAGTTTGAAAAAAAAATCATGTGTTTCGCTAACTTGACGTCGAGTTAGCGAGACAATATCACTAAAAATGTCGGTAGTGATAAGTTGAGTGAATGGAAATTTGCCGTTTTTTTGCCGCTAATTAGATGTGAAAACTAAAAATTTGCCGCTACCTTTCTTTCCATAAGAAAATCGTGTTCGAAAATAAAGTAGTGTTTTGCTAATTTAACGTAAAGTTAGCGAGATCACTAAAAATGTCGGTACACTGAAAAAA